ATTCCCTTACTTTAGCCTAAGGTTCCGCCTCTCGATGTGCCTCCATCATTGAATCCATTTCATCCCTATTTGTTCCCTTTGTTTCCATCTTATTTCCATCACCAAAGGAAATAACCACTTCATTCCTCGTCTGTAACTCGCCTGTAGTCTTATCCCCCACCTGCTTATCAATGGATGATAGCTCCTTAGAATCCATCTTCGCTACATATTTTCCATTGTCTAGTGACTCATCCAATCCCACCCCACACTTATGGCAATAAGTGTTCCTGGAATCCACTATAGACCCACTATCTACAACCTTGATCAATTTATCCAATTTCCCTTTCAACACTCGGATGCGAGCCTTTAATATTGCATTAGGATCACTCCTCTCGTTATTCGCTCTTCCCTTATGCAACAACACCCGCTGATTATCATTATGCGGCTCCCACACATTCGCTGTAACATTGGCATAAGTCATCCCAAATCGGCTCCTTTCTTCATCTATTCGACGCTTGGCCTTATCTCTGGCAACAAAAGAATCAACAACTGCCTGAAACTCGCGTGAAACCGATGCCCACCCCTCTGTTCACTCCTTCCGCACCATCACGACCCCCTTCCGACACCTCTCCACATACTGTGCTATCATCAAAAGCCTACGACGACTGTTGGTACAACGTTGTGCCAGGAAGGCTCGAGAAGACTCATCAAACTTGGCGACGAATTCCACCGTCTTACCAGCCACTCACAACTTATCCATTATATTCACCATCCAAACGACACCAAATCGGCCCATACAAATAGTGTCCGATATTTTCGATCCCCATTCTATAAACTTCACAATACCTGAGTCAATAACAGACACTACACACCCCTTTACCTCAACTGTAAAACGTGAACTAAAAACCTTAAGACCCGCAGCATAAGTCTGTATGAAACTATTAGTTTGGAAAGCCTCGTTGCAGTGTGGAGATTCTGAGAGTTTTCCGGCGGAGGCGTGTGGGCCCACACTTGGGCAGATTGGCACGTTCACTTGACAACTTTTGGTCTAATTTACTTCTGAGATGTGCATGGATGTGAACAATAATTTGCCATATAAATATAGGCTTGTACACTTTTACAATCACTTCTTTTCAATACAATCAAGTTAGTCTAACAAATTCTTCGAGTGTTTTAATTTTTCTTGTTTTAAAGAAACCAATTCTACTTTCGCACCAAAATTGGTATCAAAGCAAGGTTTACCCTTAACTGATAGCTACTTATAAATTTATAATGATAGTGGTACGCATTGTCGCAACGATAATTGGAGGATTGCAAATTTACCAACCTTAGTTCAGAATCTTGAACGAAAGATTATGTTTGAAGACACGGTTGACAAGAATTTGCAGATTTTGATTGTTATGAATGTTGGTTACTTCAACAAACACGGGACACGTGGCTAGAGAATTTCCTCGAGTCCGAATATGGAGTTCTACTAAGGAGATAAAAAGGAGTCCAATTTGAAGCACGACAAGACTTTTAGAACATGATGCGCCGTCAACAACAAAGTATGCAATATGATAATAGAACACGAGAGTAGTGAGAACATAGCATTCAAAGCATTAGTGAAAACTTTAAATTTGAAAAGGGAAAATACTCATCTTGCTATTAGGTTTTGAGCCAATAATTTTAAGGTAGGATTATCATTGTGAAAAGTTGAATTGTTCGAATGAGTTTGCAAGTGCTTTGAGAAGATGACGTCTATTCTCGAAGAAGGATAAAAATGAAGAGGGATTGTACTGCCAAATAATATAATCTGCAATGGGAGAATAAAATGCGGAAGGGAAAAAATATAGAAGAAAAATATGGCAGAGAGAGAATTTTAAGAACCCTAACAAGGCTTCGATACCAATTCCAAGTGAGTTGTGAAAATGAATTGTGTATTTCCAACTGTTGTATTACATATTTATATATAAATACACCTAGACTAGAAACCTAAGAAAGGAAACAAATTTCATAAAATAATAAACTATTATTCGGGATCGACTATACCACAAATACAAAATATTGACGTAATATCAATCCCTGTTTTTTATGCACAAAAAAAATCCCTAATTTCTCAAAAATTCTTCAAATCTTCAACACTACAAAACTGGGACTACGATCTGCTTTTCTTTTTTTTTCCTTTTTTTTTTTTGCTTGCACGCGAGCTTCCATTGTACTCGGTTTAAAGGGGAAAAACAAATAAAATAAAATGGCGCAACTCTCTTCTGCTGGCATCAATTCGATGATAGCATTTGTATTCCATTGTATTGTCTGACTTTTGGTTGTCTCATCACAGTCAACGCTATAAGGATTCTCATTGTTGAGAATCAATTTATTTTAATTGATGGTAACATTTTGGCTCCAACTAATGGATTCAAAGTGAGTAATTCATTTGATTGCAATGATTTCCTCCATCAGATATTTTCAAACTGCAAGGATTCTCATCCATTCGTACGAGGAAAATAGTTGTTGACAGAAGGCAGAGGGAAAAGGCAAGCATGTAGACATACCATCATCACTACAACCATGTGCAGCAACCAGTTGGATGAAACTGTAACTATAAAATATTCATGAATGTTTGGCAGGATTAAAGTGATAGCATTAGATTGTATTAAGGAAGAGAGAAAAAAAATCGTACTTTCAGGTCCTATCAAGTACTGTGTACCAACACGATCTCAAAGAATTCCAGTTCAAATTGATTACCTTGGAGAAATCACCATCCGACATCTTACTCATGGGAATATCTCCTTTTAACAGACATGAAACTCGAAGGATGATCTCTGTATTGTTCTCTCCAACTGAATCCTTTTTTACTCCTGACATTACATGTTAACAGTAGAAAGTATCAAGAAGTCAATCATTTGAGGAAGACACAGGGCAATAACCTAGGCTACAGTTTAAGAAAATAAGTACAAAGAGATATGATTATATCAGACTTATCACTTGCTCATTAATTTTTCCAAATGAAAAATGATAATGGTACAGCAGATTAATAGATGAACTAATCATTTCTTTATTTTCTTTATAATTGAAAAAAGTAGAGACGTGCCATGAGCTTCACTCATGCATAGTCAAAGCTTGTTGGTTTTAATACTTCAAAACTTTCAGAAGCTCAGGTCAATTTTTTTCTAACATGAGTGTGTTGATACTAGATGAAATTAAATAACGTGAAAAGCTCAAAGAAACAAAACTATAATCAAATGCTTCATTTATCATTGACTTTGGCTAAATTTGAATTAATAACTTCTGTACCAGTTTTCATATAGTGCATTTCTAATAGAGATTAATTAAAACTTTTAACACGTGCTAATGTCAATGGGTCGTCTATGCACCAATCTATGTGGTAATGGGGCCACTGCAAATTGTCCAATGAATATAAACGCATCCAGCTTCAGTGGACAATGTGACACTAGTCATGCTGCCATTGGAGCATTACTTCTAATTTCCACATCCAATCTTTTAAGTGGATGTATTCTATAATATCAACACAAAATATATATATCCCATCTGGTAAATGAAATAGTTTGAACAAACCAAAAAGTAATGTAAACAACAGTTTTTGGAATATTCATGGCTCTGGATTACATAAGACAAAGTCCCATGCTTAAAAGAGTCCTGATCAAATCTCCTCTTATATTATCTACATTACATATCACTAAATGGCACTTTCATTCAAGTATTCAACCTAAAATGGAACCTGTTTCCAACAACACCATCCTAGTCTTATATCTATAGCTCAAACTACCATTACTTGAGAGAGCTTGAATTTCAGTTATCAAGGAATAATCATGCACATGGCTATTAAGGGTGCATGCACTGTACAATAACAATGCAAAAGTTCATCTAAAACTTATTCAATATCAGGTTATATAGATTATACTCAACTGACCTTTGACTTGCACGAGCTGATGAGAAATTGTTTGTCTGTAATCATATGGGTCTATTTTGACTCTAACAAAGCTTCCTATCACCTTTTCTTCAAATGATTCAGGTTGGCCAAATAGCTCAAATAGCAAGCTTTTCTTCAAGTAGACAAGTTTTATATTTTCAGTTATAATGGAAGCGAAATAACTTCGAGGGGCACCATGTTCTTTTCCTTCTGTCTGGGAGTATTTCACTGTATCCTTCTTTCTCTGCCTTTTATGAGCAACCGAGATTTTGCCTTCTGAATCATTCCCAAGTGCATCCTCTTCGGATTCATCTTGGTTCTCAGTAAAATGCGACTCCAGAAGATTATATATGCTGTTTTTATTTATTTTCCTCTTCCCAAAAAGAGATTGTAAACTGGCATCACATGTTAATCTTTTCTTGTTCTTTGGATCAAAAAGCTTCTTTTCTTTGATATAATTATCTACAATGGAAGATACATCATGCTGCGATAATGTCACACTAGTATCTTTACCTATTGAAGCAAGAAACTCAATAAGTGATCTTGAACCCCAGCCAATAAACTCCTTTCTTTTGGATTTATTGTTTTTTTGCGTAGCAGATTTGGATCTCTCAGCTTTCCTTTTCTCCTCTTCATGATCTTTAGCAAATTCTTTTGAAACCGATTCAGACTTGTAGTTCTTTCTCTTCTCCATCCTATCTTGTGATTAAAGAAGATTCTTAGTCTTTAAAACTTCTCTATAATGATCTATCAATATTCAAGTGAGCAAACCCTCAAAACAATTCTCGATCTTTATAATCCACCTTGTCCTGAAAACAATAATCATTCAAAAAAGAGAACCAACTCAAGATTGGAATGTGGACAAATCTTGAAGAAAGAAAAAATCGGACAGAAGAAGCAAAAAACAAGCATCTAGGTATCCAATTTTTTATTTTTTTTCAGTATCATCAACTAATTTGGAAAAACATCTAGAATAAGAAGAGTACAAGGAAGGTTGCCACAAGTTCAACATAGATTTACCATGAAGAGCTACCAAATGAAAGTCAGGTTCTTAATGTTTCTTGCTTAAACATACAAGAGTTAATTTGTATTATAAGACACAAGGATTTGAACCTCAAACTGAAAGTAGTCCTAATCATTCTAACTTTGGAAGTCTCCATGGCATCAGCTTTTCTTTTGAGTAAATAGGTCCAACATACACGAGAATGGTCATGAATGTAATAAACCATTTTGCCCCAGGAATGTTTATATCACAAGAAGGTCCCAAATATCACTGTGAACAAGAAAAATGGTTTCGATCTGATAAGGTTGTGCAGGAAATGAGCATGGACTATTACTTGCAAGTATGGAAAATAAGGTTAAAATAATCAATGTTCTTAATTATTTTGAAATATAGTTGGACTATTACTTGCAAGTATGGGAAACTAAAATGACCTAATCTCTTGTGCCAAAATTTGACTTCTTTTGTGGAACTTGAGTGTTTTTTAGATACCTGCACCTATCGATTTACTCTTGAAATAACACAGTCCATCAACTTCTTTAGCACAACCAATCTTCTCCGTGCACAAGTCCTGAAATTCACATTGAGAGGGAAGAAACTTAGCCAAACAATTTAGAGCTTTTGCAAGTTTCCTAATCGAGAGCGAATTACAATAAATAAATAAATAAATAAAAATTAATAATAATAAAGAAATTGAAAAATGTAAAACAGATGTGAGGGTAACTAGGGTTTCGAAAACTCTCTCTGATAACATGAAGAAAGAAGAAGAAACTCTTTCTCTTATTGTACAGTATGAATACAATGAATTTATAGAAGAATAACCCTTCTTGATTCTAAAACTAGCGAGTCAATTAATTCCTAAAACCTAGCATACCAAAATAACTCTTAACAAATATAGTACACAATCGAAGATTATGCTAGAAATAAGGGATTTAGAATCGGAATTCTACAAGCACAACTAACGACCGAACCTGAAACCAACATTCAGAAATCAACTGATCGGAAGCAGATGGTAGCTGCAAGAATGGGTCCCGATTAAACAAGAATTAGCGGCAATTCTTCAACAACAAAATTAGAGTTTCGCAACTCCAGCATTGTCTGTAGAAGATGCCGCCTTAAATTAAGGTTTCAGATAAGTCATGAACTCCTGAAAAATGATAAGCCTGCAGATGATGTTGCACAGCCCGAAGATGAAGTCACGATTGCTGGAGGGATGATTTGCGACCTAGGGCAGACTGAATCCTGAAGGATTTAAGGTCAGATTTACGATTCTTGACGGAAGTGGTCTAGGGTTCGCAACTTAGGATAAAAAATCCTAATTCAAAGAGAGCTCTGATACCATCTAGAAATAATTTTATTTCTTTCTTGTCAAACCAAAAATAGATGTACACAAGAGACAGGAAATAGAAAGTGCTGAAGGCCCATATGCAACTTTGCGGTTATTTTATATTTCTTTTTGTATCACAATTTCACGGATAGACGCACACAATTAGGAGACAGGAAATAGAAAGAAGTGAAGTTATGCTTTTGTACACAACAGTGTGGATGAAAGATCAATAAGACGCTATTCTTTATCGACCTTTCACATTTTTATATGGGAAGTATTTTGAGTATGATCTGATATAAAACTCTGCACTCCTGTTTTTCTATAATGTTCAAGATATAGAAGAAATAGGATTTAATGCATCAAATATTAGAGAACCTGATCTACTTGCCATACATCACTCAATTGAATTGTGGAGCTACATTGAATATGGTATACCAAATAATAATAAATAAGCTTCTCATCTAGCAAAATTTTAGTTTTAGTGTTTTACACCTAATTTCTATAATATATCTTCCGTATTTTTAATTAGACGATGTTAAACAAATACGCAATAAAAATTTCTTTAGTTCATTCCAATAAATTTTTCCATTCTTCCAAATATGAAAAAAAAGGAATGGTCTATCACCCGTGTAAAACGGACACATTGCTGGCATGTTGGAGTCCGACACATCAAACACCAAATGCTCACATGTTTCAACATGTGTCATAATGCAGTTATAGCGGGATAAAATACAAAAACGATAAAGCCATTGGAAGAGGGGCAAAAACATTAGGCTGCTTGGAGATGAAGGAATCGAAAAGAAGAGAAAATAACTAACCTCAAGAGATTCCAAGGTTGAAGACAACCGGAATAGGAGATGAAGTATGATGGTTCTGAGAAATATGGTTGGCGAATGCTCAAACCCTAAGCTGAACATAAAACTGAAGCTTCTGTGGGAGAAGGAACTTTAACCTGTTCAAGTCATACGAAGTGTAAGATCAAGACCAAACAACGTGATCTTAACCAAATATTGACATGCATTGGATATGTTTGAAATATTGGAGGGGAAGTGCTCAGACGATGGTACACAGTTAAGAAGATGGAGTGAATTCTTAGCGAATCTCAACGAAACTCTGGATGAAGTCTGTGAACAAATTTTTGGTTGAAAACCATTGTTGCCCATTCGAGAACTATACTTGAAAGTCCAAAAGGAGGAGAGTTGCAAGAAGGTAACGATGACACTTGCAATTACACACATCAGATGACGTAAGTATTACATGAGATGGTGTGCTAGGAGATGATGTGCTACAGATGGAGGTTAAGGAATTTATTGGCCAACTAAAGTATTTTTGAGAATGGAGGTGGCAAGAACAAGAAGAGGTATCTCAGTCTTGCAAAGGAAGTATATTCTAGACCTACTGTCATAGAATAGCATGCTGGGATGTAGACCTGCATAACTAAAAGATAGGAAGTATAGAACGAAGTCCTCCAGTTGAAAAAGGTGGCTATAAAGCCTAATTGGGAAATTAATTTATCTTGCCCATACTAGGCTAGACATTGCTATTTCAGTTATTGTCATGAGTCAATTCATGCACTTCCCTACTAAGGAACATTTGGATGCAGTAAACAGAATTTAAAGTATCTTAAGGCGATGCCAAGAAAAGGTTTGTACTTTGGGATGAATGAAGACGGAGATGTGGAAGCTTACAGATGCAGATTGGGCTAGTTCGATTAACAATAACATCTATACATTTATACGGAGAAATTTGGTAATTTGGAGGAGCAAGAGCAATTTATCATAGCAAGGAGCAGTATGGATGCAGAATTTAAATCAGTTTCTAAGGGAAACTGTAAGTTTTGTAGATAAAGGTACTACTCGAAGAGCTGCAGTTTAGTAATAATATGCCCATGAAGTTGTACTGTGACAAGCTGCCATAAGTATTGCTCACAGCCCAGTTCTCCGTGATAGAACTAAACATGTGGAAGTTACCGACATCTCATCAAAGAGAAGATTGAAAAGATTAATCTTTATGAGGTTTCCTAATAGGACACAGATTGCTGACCTTTTAACAAAAGGACTGTAGAGACAATTTCAAAATATATAGGAGCAAGTTGCTTGTTCTTTATATTTTCACACGTACTTGAGGCGGAGAGTAGAAAAGTTGAAGTTTTTTGACTTCAAAAATTTGAAATAAAATTTGGTCTCATCTATCTATTTAGTTTCAAATTTAGATAGCAAAATCTTTATTTATACTTGAGTTCTTAGTTACTAACTAGATTAGATAAGGTTTATCCCCAGATTTCTTAAAGAAGAATATGGTTTGTTTATCTACGAATATAGTTAGGACTTAGGATATAAATACCTATACTATCTAACCAGTTTGCATTCACAGTATTTTTCCTCTCAATTTCGCAGTTGTTTACATGATCCATACCTCGTCATAGTCATACACCACATCTTCTTCAAGCACCATCACAAGATTGCAGAATCCATTTTTGTCTTCAACTTGTACAAACTCTAAAGCGTGATGACATTGATGGCATACAGCAGAGGTGCAAGTATAACGATGATTTTCTTAAGATCTATGGTAGACAGAGCAAGTATGCCATTCTGGAAATGAACAGTATAAGTTCACATCTCATTATATCTGATGGACAAAAAAATAATAAAGCACGCAAGAAACTATATGAGATGATAATATAGTCTTAGGAAGATTAATTAAAAGAGTAGATAGATAAATGGCATTTAGGATGACTTACCACAATTCCATTGGCTTTCACTGCCCAAAAATGAATTGATCTTTTCAATCACAAGAAGAATAATATGGTTTTAGACATTACCCGGAAACAGTAAATGTTAATAGAAAGCATTGTGGGGAGAAGTGCTCAGTAATAAACATTCTAATTGAGTCGTGACTCATAAAGATGAAGGGTCCAAATTTAGAATGTAGTGAGATCAGTGAAACAACAAATACATTTTCTAATGATGAATGACAAATCAAATTTTAATCATTTCCGAAAATCTCAAAAGAACAGAAAATTAGTCATCACAATGCCAAAAAATTACTAAACTGTCAAGATGTCGATTGCAACGAACAAGAACAATAAAGAAGAAAAAGAAAGTAGGAAGAGAGAAATGAGGGAAAGATTTTAATTTTTATTCAATATTCAAATTTATCTCATTACAATCAATGGACCTCTTTATATCGGCTAAAAACACGACTAATAAAGGAAATCATGACTAGTAAGGAAAATTAGAATTTTCCCTTCACAAAATCAATTTACCAAAAATGAATCAAATGCAATAATAGAAAATTTTATTGTAATTGATGTCAATTTCTTTTACGCCTCGAATAGACTTTCCAAGTTGCATCGTGTCACCTCCTG